GAAGGAAGGAAGGAAGGAAGGAAGGAAATCTGTACAGTAATGAAGTAGGAAACTAAATGTTCCCAGGAAGCTGTGTTTCCAAAATGAGTGTGGAGGACCAGAGGGCTGCTGCTCTCTGAGTTTGGGCAACACAGCAGTGGTCATCAGTTTTTAAGAGTAGCCCTCACAATCCACAGAATTCTATCACAGAATATATCATAAAGTTATGTGGCTTTGGGGGAGGTACGGGGGATCAAAACCAGGACAGCACACTTGCAAAGCACATGCTCTATCACTGAGCTATACCCACAGCACAAAATACTTCATGATTTTTGTCAAAACTTATGAGACAAAGCCGGGCATGGTATCACACACCTATAATCCCAGCTTCTTAGGGGACTGAGGCAGGAGGATCATAGGTTCAAGGCCAGCCCCAGAAATTTAGCAAGACCCTAAGCAATGTTCTGAGACCATGTCTCAAAATTAAAAAAAAATAAAAAGAAAAAGAACTGGGAACATGGCTCATTGGTAAAGCACCCCTGGGTTCAATCCCCAGGATACATTAAGAAAAAAAAAAAAGATAGTATTTTTGCTAGAATTTTTTTTTTTTTTTGTACCAGGGATTGAGCCCAAGGTTTTACATGCACTAGGCAAACACTGTTCCACTGAGCTCTTCCCTTTCCCTGTTATTGATTTTTTTTTGTACTGGGAATTGAACTCAGGGGCACTTAATCACTGAGCCACATCCCCAGCCCTTTTTATTTTTTTATTTTTAAGGCAGGGTCTCACTGAGTTGCTTAGGGCCTCTCTAAATGGCTGAGGCTGGCTTTGAACTTTCTATCCTCTTGCCTCAGCCTCCTAAGCTGCTAGGATTACACACATGTGCCACTATGCCTGGCTCCTATTGTTGAATTTTTGATTGCACAAAAAGACATAATGATTAAAACTTTCGTGCCATTGACACAGGCCTGTTTGGGAATTCAGGTTTTGCCTTCTTTCTCTTCTGATTTTTACAAAGGTCATATATCAACTTAATTTCTATTTGAGTGTTAATATGGGTTACTGCATTTTGATTTTCAGTCTAGTCTGTTAGAGCCTAGAGCATAAAATAGTCCAAAATAGCCATATAACTATTATCATATAACACATCATATAACTCTTATCTGACATGCTTTTATTTATACCGAGAATTTAAACCAGGGGCCCTTGACCACTGAACTTCATCCCCAGTCTTTTTTTTTTTTTTGGCGGGGGTTCCATGGATTGAAATCAGGGGCACTCAACGACTGAGCCACATCCCCAGCCCTATTTTTGTATCTTATTTAGAGATATGGTTCCAGTGATTGCTAAGTGCCTCACCATTGCTGAGGCTGGCTTTGAACTCAAGATACTCCTGTCTCAGCCACCTGAGCCGCTGAAATCATAGGTGTGCACCACTGTGCCTGGCTTCCCCAGTCCTTTTTATTTTTAAACAGGGACTTGATATGCTGCTGATGGTCTTACTAAATTCAAGTGCTGAGGCAGGCTCAAACTTGCAATCCCCCTGCCTCAGCCTCCCCAGTTTCTTGGACTACAGACCTGTACCACCATGCCTCACTATTATCTAACACTCTTTAAAATGTCATTGTTCCTTAGACTTTGCTTTTCTAGGATAAAGAACTCTGGCACTGTGTGGGGCTCAGCATTGCCTGGGAAATGCCTCTGTAGGAAGAACTCTGACACTGAAAGGCTCCAGGTGGTGGCTGCCATGATGAGAGGGACCCACACTTTGACCTACATTTCTTGCTCCCCAACATCCTGAGAGGTACCCACAGCTTCCACCATCAGTGGCTTCAGATATGGAAAAGTGGCCTTCCCAGGGCTGGTAGTCAAATCTTCTCTGTGGTCTCAAATCCCAGCTCATATTTGGTGAAAGTATTCTCAACCAGTTTGCTGAGCCGATCCCCCTGAAACATCCTTTACCTTGTACGGGAACAAAAGACTGATTCTCCCTCCTTGTCCTCAAGGGTAGCAAGAGGTTTTAGGAGTCTCTCTTGTGTCTCTAGCAACTCTTTTCCAATTTCTTTTCTACTGAGCCACTTTTTGTATTTTATTTTGATACAGGGTCTTGTTGAGTTGCTCAGGGCCTTGCTAAATTGCTGAGGTCAGCCTTGAACTTGCAATCCTCCTGCCTCAGCCTCCGGAGCTACTGGGATTAGAGGTGTGTGATGCCACACCCGGTTTCATAAAGCATTTTTGATTTTGAGATGGGTTCTCACCCTGCTGACCAGGCTAGCCTGGAGCTCCTCGCTTTAGGGATTGACCTCTTTCAGCCTCTGGGGCTGCTGGCATAGTAGATGGGATTAAAGAAGTGAGCCATCACACATAAGAGATTTTAACTCTAGAACATGTTCACAATGTTAGTGTGGCCATGGAACCCTGAACAAAGAGCTTTCAGGTGTTTCTCTGTCCAACATCAGATTAAGTCCATTGGTGTCTCATGCTCAGAACTGATGGTGACCCTGTGAATGAAACTCTGTGAAAGAAATCCATGAGACGATCTGCACCCCACCCAGAATCCCTTCCCCTTCCTGCCTGGAGATCTGCTAAAACCAATCAATAAGCTGAAAATCCAACCAGGTTTAATTGGATGAGATTCAATAATCTAGTCAGATATGAGCTTCCAATTAGAAGGGAGGGGTTTGGAGAGGAGGAATAAAAGCTTCAGACCAGCCAGAGAAGGTTCCAGAGAATCCTGGACCAAGAGTCACTGCCTGAATCTGTTGACACTTGGAGAGCCATATCATTCCATCCAGACGTGCAGATAGGGTAAGTGACAGCCCTCCCTAAGGATGTGCCACCCTGTCTACCCACAGCCAGTCTGCTCTGGTGACTGGTGACTGCATCCCAGGTTGCCACTGCTGCCTCTGCTGCTTCTTTAGGGATTGAACCCAAGGATGCTTTACCACTGAGCCTCATCTCCACAGACCTGTTTTTTTTTTTTTTTTTTTAAATCAGGGTCTACCTAAGTTGGTCAACATCTTGCTAAGGTTCTGTGGCTGACCTGCAACTTGACTTTTTTTGGACTGGGGATTGAACTCATGGCTGCTTAACAAATGAGTTATATCTCCAGCACCTTTTACATGTTTTTTTTTTTTTTTTTGGACACAGGGCCTCAGTAAGTTGCCTAGAATCTCCCTAAATTGCTAAGGCTGGCCTTAAACTTTTGATGCTCCTGCCTCATCCTCCTAAATTGCTGGGATTACCAGCATGCACCACTGCACCCAACAATTTTTTTTTCTTTTTTGGGCACCAGGGATTGAACTCAGGGGCACTCAACCATTTGAGCCACACTCCCAGCCCTATTTTTGTATTTTATTTAGAGACAGGGTCTCACTAAGTTGTTTAGACAGAGTCTCACTGAGTTGCTTAGTGCCTCACCATTGTTGAGGCTGACATTCATGATCCTCCTGTCTTAGCCTCCCAAGCTGCTGGGATTACAGGCATGTGCCACTGCGCCTGGCCCAGTCCAAACTTTTTAAGTGAGACCTATCTATTTGATTTTGATTTTCTTGACAATTTGCATATGTAGTCTATACTCTTCTAAATGACAGTTAATGGAATTTTTGGTATTGTGATTTTACAAGTTATTTTATATTTAGAGCTTAAAACAGGGTGAGGGTGTGCTCAGTGTTAGAGGACTTGCCTAGTATGAGGACCTGGGTTCAAACCCCATGACCACAAAACAAAGGAATATGTGCTCATATATGTGATGTATACATTTTTATATCAGTGTTTTATTACTTGATTTTGGTGTCACGGTTTGGATAGGATGTATTCTCCCAAAGGTTCAAGTGTTAATGTAAGGGGTGAGAGGATTGGGTTATAAGATCCATAATTAGTACATTCATCTATTTAACAGATTTGATAGGACTACATCCTGGGTGATAAACTCTAGGCAGCTGAGGTGTGGCTGGAGGAAATAGCCACAAGGGATATAGTGAAAGCATCCCGTGAACCCCTGTTAAAGTTTCTTGGCACCATGCCCACTACTTCAGGCTGCCCTGTACTGATCAGCTTTTCTGAGGCTCTGTTCGGTCATGTTCTTCTGCCTCTTGAGCAATGGAGCTGGCTGTCCATGGAATGAACCTCTGAAACCAGGAACCCCAAATAAACTTCCTCTAAGTTCAGCAAAAAAAGTTCTGATTTTCATTTTTGTGGTCCAATGGGATCTAACCCAAGGCTATATGTGGGCTCAGTAACCTCCTATATCACTGAGCTACCACCCTCAGCACAGCCCTAAGGTATAGCTATATCTAGATTTACATCTGTACATGTCCACATATGTATATGGTATTGTGTGTGTATGTGTGGTACAGGGAATTGAACCCAGGGCCTCACATGCTCGGCAAGCTTGATACCACTGAACCACATCTTGAGCTTTGGACAAGGTTTTGCTCAGTTTCCCAGTCTGCCCTTGAACTTGAGGTTCTCATTTTTTAAAAAAATATTTTTGGTAATGGGGATTGAACTAAGGGTCGTTTACCACTTAGCCACATTCCAGCCCTTTTAATGTTTTATTCTGATTTGGTCTCTCATGAGGGCCTTGGATCTTGTTAAGTTGCTGAGGCTGGACTTGAACTTGTAGTCCTCCTCAGTGTCCCAAGTTGCTAGAATTACAGGCTTGTGTCACCAGGCTGGGCATTGGCCCTGTGTCATTTCTATTCTCTTTAAGGGGGTCCTACATGAGGTTTAGGTTTGGGATCAGTGGTAAGGCACTTGCCTGGCATGCATTCAGCCCTTGGTTCACTCCCCAGGATCTCAAAAGTGAGGATGAGTCACCTGTCCATAATGGGACTGGTGAGCCTTCAGACTGCTTAATAACCAGTGGGATTAGAGTTGGGAGGACCAGAGGTGGAAACTGGATACTGGGGATTTGATCCCCACCACCACAGCGCTGTGGCTTACCAGGATTTGGACCTCAACTGGTTAAGGAGGGGTTTTTCAGGCTTGGCCTGAAAGGGTGCCTCTGTTCCCTGCAGATTCAACAGGATGAGCATCAGGACCATACCCACACTCCAGGACCTGGTGATACAGAACATACTGCGCAACAAGGCCTTGCCCATCCCCAATCTGGAGTACCTTCCCAGGGTGCCTACCCTGCAGTTGTACAAGGAGGCTATAATGGGGGGTCACATGGAGATGGTAAAGAAAATGGTGCTGTCCTGCCCCTTGCCCTGTCTGCCTGTGGAGTACCTGCTGAAGACAAGAGATGTGAAGGCCTTAAAAACCCTACTGAATGGGCTAGACTTGCTGATTTCCCAGAACATTTACCCCAGGTGAGGGGGGCCCAGGAAGAGACAGCTGAGGGAAGCAGGACAGGGTGAAGGGTGGACCAGGTGATGCCAGGGAGGAGGCTGCTCTGCCCCCTCCACAGGAAGGGTCCCTGGCTGGATTCAAGGGGAAAGAGCATGGAGAAACATAGGAGAGCAGAGGAGTAGCCACCCAGAACAAGGGGTTCACTGGGGTCTAACGCACAGGTTGGAGGTCGGGCAAGTCTTTGTATATTTTTCGAACCTCCTTCCCATTTTCTCCATAGGAAATGGAAACTGAAAGCAATCAATTTTCGGGAAGTGAATCAGGACAGCCACAATGAGTGGTCCAGAGCCCCACTGGGTGCCTGCTCACAAGAGGCCATGTCTCCAAAGGAAAGAGAGAAATGTAGCCAAAGAGCAGCGAAGCCACACTTGAAGATCTTCATAGATTTCGATCTGGACAAAGTCTTCCAAAGATTCCTTGGCAGCCTCAGGGAGTGGGTGGAGGAGAGATAGGGGGTGGTCCGTATATACTGCGAGAAGCTGCAGATCGGGGGTTTCTACTTGAAACTCTCTAAATTCCTGAGGACGTTGCCATTGTACTACGTGCAGGAACTGGAGGTGAATGCTCAGCACTGGACTCGAGAAATAATGGAACATTTTTGTTTTTGCCTGATCGAGATGAGGAACCTTCGCGTCCTCCATCTCTCCGACTTGAGCCCACAGGCCTTCACCAGCCACTTGGTAAACAGGTGGTTTTCCCATAGATTCAGCCTTCAACTGCGGAATTTGAAAAAACTCCACGAGCTCTATGTGACCAACGTCTTCTTCCTCTAAGGAGCGCTGCACAAAATCCTCCTGTAAGCACGAGGGGTGCGCATTGCCGCAAAAGCCATTTTTGCTTACCGAGCATTAAAAGGGCTTGTGCCCCGGCCACTGGCCATATCAGGGAAGGAGATGCTGGAGAGTGACCGAGTGACCTCCGGGTCTGGTCCCCTGCTCAGTCCTAAAGGAGGGTCTCATCACCACCCACACAGAAGCAGAGGGCTAAACCGTGGTGCATGTTCTGGGAAGTGCCACCATGCTGGGAAGCCAGCTGGGGGGGAAAGGAGCTAGTGAGGGTGGGTGAGGTTCCTTCCCTGGGAGGCCTGTCCAGCGAAGGAGGTGGGAGATGGGGTAGAGGAGATGGCGTTGGAGGAGGGAAGCCCCCACACCTGCACCTTGCAACAGGGAAGCTCTGTGCTCTCCAGCAGGGAGCAGAGGAGCCGCCCCCAATTCCCCCCCTTGGGAAGGCTGCTCTGAGCCTCAGGTGGTGATTCTGGAGTTGAGGGTGAGGAGGAGGGATGGAGGGTACAGGGTGTGAGCTTCACAGGTGGATAACCCCGGTTGGTTTTCTTCATCTTGCCTGGATTTGTTCTTCATACATGACTCCCCCTGACCTCCTGTTGCCAGAGCTGTGGCCTTGGGCTTGGCAGTGAGGGGAGGAGCCTTAGAGATGATGGACTCACCTGGTCACTCAAGTGGTGGTGAAAGGCTCACCCTGAAATTGGGTGATGTTTAGGAGCAGATTCTGCAACCCACAGTGTCCTGGGGGTCCACCATCATCAGAAGGACAGGGCAACCTTGGGTTTGAGATTAACCAGTTCTCTTCTACCATTTCCCAATATATCCACTTGGTGCCTTCATTCACCAGAAGTAACTCTTTGCTTTCTCTCCAGGAGTCAGACCCCCTTGAAAACACTTTCGCTGAGAGGTTGTCCGCTCAAGGAGAAGGATTTAAAGCATCTGTCCATGTGTCCGAGCACTGATCAACTGAAGTATCTGGATCTCAGCTCTTTTTCCATGAAATATATGAGTCCTGAGCCCTTCCGGGTACTGCTGGAGAAGGTGGCACCCACCCTTGAGACCCTGGTTTTAGAGTTTTGTGAGATAACAGAGTCCCTGCTAAATGCCATCTCACCAGCCCTGGGTCACTGTTCCCAGGTCAAAACCTTCAGTTTCTGTGGGAACCAAATCCCCCTGAATGCTCTTAAGAACCTGCTGAGCCACACCGGCTGCCTGCCGCTGGAACAAGCAAAGTACCCTGCCCCTCTGGAGAGCTTTGATGAAATCCTCTGGGGTTTCTGGACTGAGATCAACCACATGAAATTTGACCAGGTTCGGAAGGAGTTGATGCAGCTGGTGAAGGACATCAGGCCTGTCCACGACATCCAGATTTATACTTATGATTGTGTTCTTCACCTCAAACATACGGATTTTATTGCCGGAAACCCAGTGGCAATTCGGAAGACAGGGGATTATTGACATGCACATCACATTAGCTTTCTTGGGCTTGGGGTGAGGCTCAGTTAGAGTGCACACTGCAGGCATGAGGCCGTGAGTTTGGTCTCCAGAACCTCAAGAAATGTTTCTTGGACTCAAACGCGAGAGGTTTGTCGCATGGAGGGTAACACTGCTTATTAAGCAAATCGCCCCGCGGCTAGAGTCTGCAAGGCGCGCTGGGATAGAGACGCAGGGTTACAGCGCTGCAGTTTCTGCCAGACGCGCAAGCACCGCACTCAGGGCTGAATTCTGGGTTCGAGACGGGGAAGGAAGCGGTCCATCTCGGTTCTCCACACCGGTCAGACCACAGAGGAGGCCAGCAGCCACCATGTTGGTAAACTGACGTCACCACACCTGTTTTTGACTGACCGCAGCTCATTCAGCCATAGAACAGGTAATTTCAGGCTGCAATTCGCCTGCGGCTTGCAGACAGATTGCTAGGGTTCAGCGCCTGGGGGCTTCTTAAAATCTGATCTTATCGGAGTGAACACGGAGCGCGGGGCGGCCGAGTTCCGGCTCCCGGAACCGTCCCGGAACCGCCCTGGCTCCGGGCTGCGGAGCCTGCGGAGGCTGCTTCTTGGACCCTGCTAATATCAGAGCAAACACGAAACACCAAGAAGCCGAATTCCAGCTCCCGGAACTGAGCCCGCGGGGACTGCTTCTTGGAGCTTACACTTATAGGAGCTTACACCGAGCACAGAGCGGCCGAGTTCCGGCTCCTGGAACCGTCCCGGAACCGCCCTGGCTCAGGGCTGCGGAGCCCGCGGAGGCTGCTTCTTGGACCCTGCTACTATCAGAGCATACACCAAGCACTAAGCGGCCGAATTCCGGCTCCCGGAACTGAGCCCGCGGGGGCTGCTTCTTGGAGCTTACACTTATAGGAGCTTACACCGAGCACAGAGCGGCCGAGTTCCGGCTCCCGGAACTTCCCTGGACCGGGGCTAGGAGCCCGCGGAAACTGTGTCTCGGTCCGGGTCCTGCTGAGGGCAGGTCAGGACTCACCCATTGCTTGGGTTGCCTGGCAAGGGGAACGAAATGCTGCCATTCGCATAGGATACCAACATGGCAGAGATCTGATGTCAGCAGAAAGCGGTGGAGGAGAGATCTTCATCAATACCAGCAGTGACATAAGCAGTTGGTCTCCTGGTAAGGGGGGTGAGGCTCAGTCACCCGAGTCTCCTCAATTTGTCCTCGAGCCAGAGGGAAGGAGCCGGGCCGCCGCCAGCCCCCGGAGCAGGCCCAGCGGCTCGCCAGCGTGGTGACTGCGTGACCCCAATTGGAGAGGGGGCGGAGCGGAGCCACCACCCACACCCGCCAGGTGGGCAGACCCACGACCCAGTAGTACATGGGCGTGGTAGGAGGGGCAGGGCAGAGCCGCCCTTCCCGCTTGCAAGGTAAACAGACCTGTGACAGCCTGGCGGGTCAGGCCCAGTGGCCTGCCAGTGTGGTACACACGTCACCCCAACTCGAGTAGGGGCAGAGCAGATCCTTATCCCACGCCCGGATCAGGCCCTGCCAGTGTGGTGGTCACGTGACCCCAATTGGAGTGGGGGTGGAGCGGAACCGCCACCCGTGCCCGCAGGGTGAGCAGACCAGTGATCAACCTGCAGATCAGGCCCAGGGGTCCGCAGGCGTGGTAGGAGGGGCAGGGCAGATCCGCCGCCCGCGCCTTCAAGGTAGGCAGACCTACAACAGACCGGCGGATCAGGCCCAGGAGCCTGCCGGCGGGGTACAAACACCACCCTAATTGGAGTAGTGACAGAGCAGAGTCGCCTCCCTTGCCAGGAACAGACCCAGCATCCTGCAGGCGGGGTAGTCACGACACCCCAATTGGAGTAGGGGCAAAGCAGAGCCTCCACCCGTGCCCGAAAGGTGGGCAGATCTGCGACCGACCAGCGGGACAGGCCCAGTGGCCTGCTGGTACGACAGACAAGTCACTCCAATTGGAGTAGGGGCAGAACAGAGCCGCCACCAGCTCCCAGAACAGGCCCAGTGACCTGCCGGCGTGGTAGCCACGACACCCCAATTGGAATAAGGAGAGAGCAGAGCCGCCGCCCGCACCTGCAGGAAAGATACGCAAGCAGTATGAAAAGACAAGGAAAGAAAGGACCACAAGCAATGCAGGTCAACGCAACTTTAGAAGAGGTAACAGCTGCAGCAGATGGAATGTCAGATAAAGAATTCAGGATATACATGCTTCAGATGATCTGGAGTATCAAGGAAGACATTAAACAGCAAAATCAGACAATGAAAGATCACTTCGACAACGAATTACGCAAACAAATCCAGGAAGCAAAGGATCAACTATACAGGGAGATAGAGGTTATAAAAAACAAGCAATCAGAAATCCTAGAAATGCAGGAAGCAATAAACCAACTTAAAAACTCAATGGAGAATACTACCAACAGAGTAGAACACTTAGAAGATAGAACATCAGACAATGAAGACAAAGTATTTCAACTGGAAAAGAACATAGACAGCTCAGCAAGACTGTTAAGAAACCATGAGCAGAACATCCAAGAAATATGGGATAACATTAAGAGACCAAACTTAAGAGTCATTGGGATACAGGAAGGTACAGAGCTCCAAACCAAAGGAATGAGCAGTCTATTCAATGAAATAATACAAGAAAACTTCCCAGACTTGAAGAATGAGACAGAATCCCAAATCCTAGAAGCCTACAGGACGCCGAATGTGCAAAATCATAAGAGATCCACACCTAGACACATTATAATGAAGATGCCCAACATACAGAATAAGGAGAGAATTTTAAAATCTACAAGAGAAAGGAAGCAGATTACATTTAGGGGCAAGCCAATCAGGATAACAGCTAATCTTTCAACACAGACTCTGAAAGCTAGAAGATCCTGGAATAACATATTTCAAACACTGAAAGATAATGGGTTCCAACCAAGAATTGTGTATCCAGCGAAATTAAGCTTCAGGATGGAGAATGAAATTAAAACCTTCCACGATAAACAAAAGTTTAAAGAATTCGCAGCTAGAAAACCATCTCTTCAAAACATCCTAGCCAAAGTATTACAGGAAGAGGAAATGGAAAATAACAATGAAAACCAACAGTGGGAGGTAGGACAGTAAAGGGAGGGGGGAAACAATCAAAGAGGAAAACAAACAATGTTTAGTAACAGAAATAAACAAATATGGCTGGAAGAACAACCCACATCTCAATAATAACCCTAAATGTTAATGGCTTAAACTCACCAATTAAGAGACACAGGCTAGTAGAATGGATCACAAAACAAGACCCAACAATATGCTGCCTACAGGAGACGCATTTGATAGGAAAAGACATACATAGGCTGAAGGTGAAAGGTTGGGAAAAATCATATCACTCATATGGACTTCGGAAACAAGCAGGCGTGTCCATACTCATATCAAATAAAATAGATTTCAAGCCAAAGTTAATCAAAAGAGATAAAGAGGGACACTACATACTGCTTAAGGGAACCATACACCAACAAGACATAACAATCATAAATATTTATGCCCCAAACAATGGTGCAGCTATGTTCGTCAAACAAACTCTTCTCAAGTTCAAGAGTCTAATAGACCACCACACCATAATCATGGGAGACTTCAACACACCTCTCTCGCCACTGGACAGATCTTCCAAACAAAAGTTGAATAAGGAAACTATAGAACTCAATAACACTATTAATAACCTAGACCTAATTGACATATATAGAGTATACCACCCAACATCAAGCAGTTACACTTTTTTCTCAGCAGCACATGGATCCTTCTCAAAAATAGATCATATATTATGTCACAGGGCAACTCTTAGACAATATAAAGGAGTAGAGATATTACCATGCATCTTATCTGATCATAATGGAATGAAACTGAAAATCAACGATAAAAGAAGGAAGGAAAAAGCATACATCACTTGGAGAATGAACAATAGGTTACTGAATGATCAATGGGTTATAGAAGACATCAAGGAGGAAATTAAAAAATTCTTAGAGATAAATGAAAACACAGACACAACATATCGGAATCTATGGGACACATTGAAAGCAGTTCTAAGAGGAAAATTCATTGCTTGGAGTTCATTCCTTAAAAAAAGAAAAAACCAACAAATAAATGATCTCATACTTCATCTCAAAATCCTTGAAAAAGAAGAGCAAAACAACAGCAAAAGAAGTAGAAGGCAAGAAATAATGAAAATCAGAGCTGAAATTAATGAAATCGAAACAAAAGAAACAATTGAAAAAATTGACAAAACTAAAAGTTGGTTCTTTGAAAAAATAAACAAAATCGACAGACCCTTAGCGATGCTAGTGAAGAGAAGAAGAGAGAGAACTCAAATTACTAGCATACGGGATGAAAAAGGCAATATCACAACAGACACTTCAGAAATACAGAAGATAATCAAAAACTATTTTGAATCCTTATACTCCAATAAATTAGAAGATAGTGAAGGCATAGATAAATTTCTTAAGTCATATGATCTGCCCAGATTGAGTCAGGAGGATATAGAAAACCTAAACAGACCAATATCAATTGAGGAGATAGAAGAAACCATAAAAAGACTACCAACTAAGAAAAGCCCAGGACCGGATGGGTATACAGCAGAATTTTACAAAACCTTTAAAGAAGAACTAATACCAATACTTTTCAAGCTACTTCAGGAAATAGAAAAGGAGGGAGAACTTCCAAATTCATTCTATGAGGCCAACATCACCCTGATACCTAAACCAGACAAAGACACTTCAAAGAAAGAAAACTACAGACCAATATCTCTAATGAACCTAGATGCAAAAATCCTCAATAAAATTCTGGCGAATCGGATACAAAAACATATCAAAAAAATTGTACACCATGATCAAGTAGGATTCATCCCTGGGATGCAAGGCTGGTTCAATATACGGAAATCAATAAATGTTATTCACCACATCAATAGACTTAAAAATAAGAACCATATGATCATCTCGATAGATGCGGAAAAAGCATTTGACAAA